GTCAGGTGGCCGGCCCTCTGATGGTATTCACAGTAGGCCGATTGGTCGTGCCCCATATGCTTCTTCATGTCTTGGGGCTCCACGAGGAGGCCCTTGTCCTTGATGGCCTCGAAGATTTGGCTCACTGGATAGGCCAAGGGAAAATAGCGGTCGTCCGGCCGCGTTTGACTGTTTCCGGACGGAGCCTTCCAAGGGACCATTGCTCCGTCCACCTTTTTCTTTTTGTTTGGGGGGGAGGGCCCGGTTCCTGGTCCGGGTCCGAGCCTGTCCGCCATCTTCCGTGGGTGGGCCGCGGGAACTCCGTCCCGCTGCCTGATCTCCTCCTCGATGGAGGCATACTTCTGGGCCCGAGCGAGAACCTCGGTGTAGCTGGTGCCGGGATTCCTCCTCAGGTCCCGGTACAGATCCCCTGTGGCCAGCGCGCTGGTGAACATGTTGGTGGCCAGACGTTCGTCCAGATCGTCAACCTGTAGGACCTCGTCCCTCCACCTTACCAGGAACCTAGCCAGCGGTTCGTCCCGCCCTTGTTTGATGTGGGCGAGAGCCGTGACGTCCTTCCTGGGGGTGGTACTGGCAGCAAACTGCGCCATGAACTGCTGGGAGAGCTGTTCGTATGAGTCGATGGTGCCTGGCCTCAACTGGCCGAACCATTCTTGCGCCGGCCCCCTGAGGGTGCTGAAGAACAATCTGCAGATGGCCTCGTCTGATGCTCCCAGCATGGACAGGTTCCCTTGGTAGCTAATCAGATGGGCCTTGGGATCGCCAGCCCCATTGTACACCAAGTTGCCCGGGGGCCTGCAGTCCCGGGGAATCTCGACGCTCATCACCCGTGGAGTAAAGGGAGATGTGAGAGAGAAAGAGGGTGTGGCCGAGCCAACGTCCGCCCGCCTATTCATCTCGGCTATCTGCCTTTCCATGGCCTCCAACCTTGCATCCTGTGCGGCCCTCCCGGGGGACACAGGGGGCGCGGCTTCGGGGACGGCATTCCGCTGAGTGGCCACAGCATCGTGCGGCCGCCTAAAGATCTGCGCACCTCGCCGTTGGAAACGTCGTCCAACGGTGTTGATCCTCGGGGTCTCGTCTCCCCGCGGGATTTGGCGGGGGACCGATGGTGTGTGAGCCCTGGATGCAGCGATGCTGATTCTGGTTCGCCCTCCCGTTCCACGGGAGCCTGAACCCCCACCTAGCCGCTCGTGGACTGAGGGCCGGTGGTCGCTGGATCCTGTCGTATCGTCATACGACTGCATGCGGCGTATGGGAGAGAGGGGCGTTCGCCGGGTGCTTGCAGAGTACACCTGGTCTCGGGCCTCCCGCTCGTCTGCCAAGCGACGCATGGTGTCTGCGAGTTCCCGCATGAGGCGGGGATCCTGCCTGGCCTCCAGAGGAATGAGGTCAGTGATACCCCTGTTTCCCCCGGAGGTCCATATTGTTGCGGATAGTTCCGAGTTCTGGCCGCGATTCCGGCGGCTTGATTCCAGACGCTCGGAGAGATCACGCTGGTTGTTACTTCCTGACATCGTTCTTGCTGTAGGTAGACTTAGTAGCTGTTTGGGAGAGTTTCTGGAAACTTTTTGCTCAGTTTCCCACAGACGGCGCCAGTGTTGAGGTTTATTCCTTCAACCCTTGGACCCAACACGTAAGCCCAAAGATTTCGAGTGGAGTGAGTGTAAGGATGTCTAGCCCAACAACTATCAGATGGATCAGGAAAACAAAAGCAATAGCAGGCAATGTAAATAGGTATTATTAACTTCGTAATAACTCCCCTAAGTACAATCTACTTGCTAAAATGGGCACGTCGGCCGTTCGTCTTACAAGGCAATAGAAGTGCTGCGAGTCAGAATGCTATGGCTAGAGTGCTAATAATAGAAAGTTGCCAACCCCTTTCAATGAAATAAATGCTACTATTTATACCCGCCAATGGGCAGTTAGTCCTGATGATGTGGAGGATTGTTAGTGGCTATGGCCCACGATCGTCTGGTAGAACCGGGGGCCGTTCGTCTGCGGCTCTTCCTGAGAACGTAACAATCTTTTGGGCCTGGGCCATCTACGGAGATGGGCCTCGGCTGACGACGTTCGTCACGAATGTGCTAACCGACCCTCGGCCGGGACCTTGTGCTGTTATCCCGGAGACAGACATTCGTCCTCATTCCTTCAGGCCAGGGCCATCCGTGGCCCTGGGCGACGTACGTCGGTTTGGGGGTAATTGGGCCGGACCCCTGCTCGGGGCCATTTACCCAACATCGTCTGTCCCAACTCCCAAAATTATCTCCACTTTCTCCTTTTGTCAAAGAATTTGTGGTTCACAATCATTCTGACACATTCTTACACATTTCTTTCTCTTCTGCACAACTTTCTACCACACAAAATAATACGTAATATGCATATATCACGTTTGGTTCTACATGGCAAGTTGCCGATCACGTATCACATGGGATTGCATAATTTATTTTATTTAGTTTCCTTGTTTGCATTGCTTTCCTTGTATACTGCCGTATGGCCTTATATAAATTGTGGCAGACACTTGATGCAATAAGATTAACCTACGACATTTTCATCTTCTTCCTTAAGCAATGCTTCTACTTTTCATATCTATTTTAATATGGTATCAGAGCCGAAATCCTGGTCAATCTCTTTTCTAGACAACCATACCGCCTTACTCAAATAAAACCACGAGATGGCAATTGGTGATAGCAACAATAGTCATGGTGACACAATTACCATTGATTGCATGTCTCCCTACTACATACAATCTGGTGATAAACCCGGAGACGTTTTTGTCACTTCACTCCTTCGTGATGGCAATTATGGAGATTGGCTCGATGAAATGACCAATGCTCTCTACGCCAAAAATAAATTCGGATTCGTTAACGGCGACATCCCCATGCCGGAAAAGAATTCTCCTTACCTACCATATTGGCAACGCGCCAATGCCATGGTGAAAGCATGGCTTAATAGTAGCATGGAACTTGAACTACGACAAAGTGTAAAATTCAAGACTGCTCGTGAGATATGGACCGATCTTGAAGAACGCTTTGGAAAAGAAAGCGCTCCCCGAGCGTACGAATTGCGGTGTTCACTTGGGGCTGTCCGGCAGGACGGGCAGTCCGTTTCGGCGTATTTCAGTCGACTCCGGCGTATATGGGACGAGATGGCATCAATATCCAAGACGCCTAGCTGCAATTGTGGAAAATGTACGTGTGATATCACGAAACAAATCAACACCGCGAGAGACCGAGATCATCTTTACGATTTTCTAATGGGGTTGGATGATTATTATGCTCATCTTAAAAGCCAAATTCTGGCCACACGTCCAATTCCGTCTTTGACCACCGGTTACCATTTAATCTCCGAGGGCGAACAACATCGAAATATTGCTACGGCAAGGAAATCTGGTACAGAAAATACGGTTGCATTCCAGGCAAATCTAAAATCAAATTTAGATAAAAGGCCTGGAAGGGATGGAAAATATTGTACCCATTGTGGTAGGACCAACCACAATTTGGATACGTGTTTTGAAATTGTGGGCTACCCACCAAATTGGAGCACACGTAAAACTCCTGGAGAGAAAGCTGGAGAGCACCGCCCCACTGACAAATCCAAACGTGATGATCGCAGCAGGAGAGGAGGTCCATCCAAGGCGGCGCACGTCGACATGCACAACACTATTGTGTCACGTATGACTGATGACGAGCTGCAGCGTTTGGCACAATACATGAGGCGTGAACTTGGGAATCAGGGGTCCACACCACCAGAGCCTTCTAATGTACAAATAAATATGGCAGGTAAAAGTCAAGTCCAGTGGATCATCGACTCCGGGGCGTCAGAACATATAACATGCAACGAAAATCTTTTATCCAATATCATGGCGAATCCGTCCGAGTCCCCTGTTCGGATACCAAACGGTGATCTTGTGAATGTTCATTCTATTGGGAGCCTAAATCTGCCTAATGGACTGACTTTATCACGTGTTTTATTTGTGCCACATTTTCAGTGCAATTTATTATCGGTCAACCGACTTATTCAAGAAAACAATTGTATACTGACATTTTTTGGGGATTTTTGTGTGATACAGGACTCACTCTCGAGGAGGCTGATTGGAGTGGGTAGGTGTCGGGGTGGTCTATATTATTTGGAAATCTTCAATAGTGAGCGTGTGGCAATGATGGCTTCTCCACAATTTGAAGTTTGGCATCGACGTTTGGGGCATGCTTCCAGTGATAAACTTCGTCACATTAATATTTTGCAAGGTTTTAAGAAGGATGTTTCTTTTTGTGATTCTTGTGTGCGGGCTAAACAAACTCGTCTCCCCTTCCCTAATAGTACTATTAAAACGAGACGTAGTTTTGATTTAATTCATTGTGATATTTGGGGGGGATACAAATGTGCCTCTCTCACGGGTGCTCACTATTTTCTCTCCATCGTTGACGATTTTACACGAAGTGTGTGGGTTTATCTGTTGAATGCGAAATCTGACATGGGCCATTTTTTAATACATTTTTGTAATATGATTCGGACTCAATTTGGTCATCCGGTTAAACGGATACGCACAGATAATGGGGGAGAATTTCAATCCCACATCTTGCAGGATTATTATAGCGAGAATGGTATTTTTTTAGAGACCTCCTGTACAGATACACCTCAGCAGAATGGGGTTGTTGAACGGAAGCATCGGCACATTTTGGAAGTAGCTAGAGCTTTGAGATTTCAAGCTGGTTTGCCCATTGAATTTTGGGGGGAATGCATCCTTACCGCTGTTTTTATTATAAACAGACTTCCGACACCAGTCATTTCCAATAAAAGCCCATTTGAAATACTTTTTGGGAAGCCACCTGATTATAATCATCTTCGCGTTTTTGGATGTCTTGTCTATGCTCATGATAATAAAAGAAAAGATAAATTCAGTGAGAGGGGGAGCCCTTGCATTTTTTTGGGATACCCTAACGGACAAAAGGCTTATAAAGTCTTTGATCTTAAGACACACAAGGTCTACAACTCTAGAGATGTAACCTTCTTTGAAAACATTTTCCCTTTCAAGGCAACTCCTTCAACGGTTGATTAGTCCTTTGATAATGCCATTCGCATGGCTTTGTCACAAATTTCAGATACTTCAATATCTCAACAGCACTCTGACTTGATGAGGCCAGTCATGCGTGGCAGCAGTCTTCCAGTGCAACACTCTTCTGACACACCACAAGTTGAGTCGTCTCATGAGCTCGATCATGCTGAATCCACAAAAACAGTACATGAAGCACAGGGCGAAGGACAACAGGTCTTGGAACCTCGTAAAAGTGGACGTATGAGACGTTCACCCGTACACTTAGAGCTCTTTGATGTTGAATTGCCACCCTCACTCCACCCCTCGACACACCCTTCCAATGCGGCAAACTCGACGGTACATCCTCTCACACATTATCTTTCTTATAATAAATTCTCACCGACTCACCGTGCTTTTTTGGCGGCCATCACCTCTCATGATGAGCCTAAATATTTTTTCCAAGCCGTCCAGGATCCACTATGGAGAGCAGCCATGCAAAAGGAAATTCAAGCCTTGGAAGCCAACGGGACGTGGACGTTAATTCCATTGCCTCAGGGAAAGAAATTAATTGAATCCAAGTGGGTTTATAAAATCAAATACAAACCCAATGGTGATGTCGAACGATATAAAGCGCGACTGGTTGCAAAGGGATTTACACAAATTGAGGGCATTGATTTTCACGAGACTTTTGCCCCAGTTGCAAAGCTTGTTACTGTTAGATGTCTTCTGGCAGTTGCTGCTAAACGTCAATGGGTGGTCCACCAACTTGATGTGAATAATGCCTTCTTGCATGGCGATCTACACGAAGACGTGTACATGCGTATTCCACAAGGTTTCGCTAAGAAGGGAGACACTCGGGTGTGCAAGCTGCAAAAGTCCTTGTATGGTCTTCGCCAAGCTTCTCGCAATTGGTATGAAAAATTTACTAGTGCCCTTACCAAAATTGGTTTTCGGCAATCCCGTGCCGACCACTCACTTTTTATTTACCGTCAAGGGAGTACTTACACCGCTGCATTGATATACGTGGATGACGTTGTGTTAGCTGGCAATGACCTCACCCACATCTCTCAAATCAAGCATTATCTCCATGAGCAATTCACCATCAAGGACCTTGGCCCGCTCAAATATTTTCTCGGGATAGAAGTTGCTCGTTCTTCTAGTGGGATTGTTCTTAGCCAGAGGAAGTATGCTTTGGATATCCTACAAGAGAGCGGCATGCTCGGTAGTCGACCGAGTACCACTCCTATGGAGCAAAATCTAAAATTACGGCCCGATGATGACAGTGCTCTTATTGATGCTGCAATGTATCGGCGACTCATAGGCCGTTTGTTATATCTCACTGTCACACGGCCTGATATTGTCTTCCCAGTGAATCAGCTTAGTCAGTTCCTTTCCCAACCACGCCAATCGCACCTGGATGCTGCACATCGAGTACTTCGATACCTTAAAGCCACTCCGGGATTGGGAATCTTTCTTTCATCGAGCTCAGATCTTTCACTAAAGGGCTACTGTGATGCCGATTGGGCCAGCTGTTCCTTCACTCGACGCTCCAGTTCAGGTTACTTCATCACCTTAGGCGGCTCACCTATTTCCTGGCGTACAAAAAAACAAAATGTGGTCTCTCGTTCATCCGCTGAGGCAGAGTATCGGGCTATGGCAGTTGCTGTTAGTGAAATAATTTGGTTACGCTGGTTGCTTCGTGACTTCGGTGTTTTTTCTGTTACACCCACGTCGTTATTTTGTGATAATCAGGCAGCCCGTCACATTGCTACCAATCCGGTATATCATGAACGTACCAAGCACGTTGAGATGGACTGTTATTTTGTTCGAGAGCGCGTTATGAGTCACGAGATTCAACCACAACCAATCTCCACTCATCATCAAGTTGCAGATATCTTCACAAAGGCTCTTGGCAGCGAGCAATTTCAGTACCTTAGTTCCAAGCTGGGTGTTAGAGACTTACACGCTCCAGCTTGAGGGGGAGTAATACGTAATATGCATATATCACGTTTGGTTCTACATGGCAAGTTGCCGATCACGTATCACATGGGATTGCATAATTTATTTTATTTAGTTTCCTTGTTTGCATTGCTTTCCTTGTATACTGCCGTATGGCCTTATATAAATTGTGGCAGACACTTGATGCAATAAGATTAACCTACGACATTTTCATCTTCTTCCTTAAGCAATGCTTCTACTTTTCATATCTATTTTAATACAAAATTCACTATATTAATTAGTGTGCCAAGCTGAAATGGAAGAAAAAACAGGGAGGGAGTATATAAAATTTGTCTCATTCCATAAAAAAATTAATTTGACAGAGTCTAGCATTAGAGCATCTCCAATGCTATAATGTCCACGGTGCACATGTGGCATGAGTGATAGCCACATAATTATTAGCAAATAAATTATTTATCTCCTTATTTGAATGATTTTATGCAATTTTGGTAAGTTTTTCCCTGCAATGTCAACAACAATGTCAACATTAGACGGTCTCTTTGACATTGTGGAGAAAAACTTACCAAAACTGTATAAAATCATTCAAATAAGGAGAGAAATAATTTATTTACTAATATTTATGTGGTCATCTTTCATGCCACGTGTGCACCGTACACATTGTACCATTGAAGATGCTCTTAGGGATTAATTATACAACAACAAACAAAACCAATGATGACAGATTGACAGGTCGTGTTATTATTTTATTATTATTGTAATAAAGTAGGAAAGCACAATCGGATTCGTTGTCAAAATGGGAAGGTGCAAATTTCAGTATCGTCACTCGTGTGATTGTACACTATACAAAAACGTGGCCTCGTTTGCTTCACATGTTTCGTCATTTCCTTCTCATCTCAATTGAAATAATACGGAAATAGTGTATCCATTTCTTTTGCTGTGGTGTGAACGGAATAGAGACGTTCATGCATCAAATAAATAATTAAATACTTTCTTCCTCCCATAAAATTCTTCTAATCAAAATTTTAAAAGTAATAAAATAAAAATGTATAGTTGTTGAATAAGAAAGAGGGAAATAAATTTTAACTACACGAAACTGTCAAAACTTTTTTCAAAGAAAAATGAGGAGTTTTTTGGAATATCACAGAAAAGTAATTAAGAAGAATTTTAAAGGACATAGAGACTACTCATTCGCTATCATTTTAAATTTATAGTGTCCCGACAGAATTTTCACGTAACTTAAAAAAAATATTATCACTTACAACTCAAAAACTTTGTCATGTTGCAAAATTTCGAACCACGATTTTAATTAATACTTTGTATAATGTTATGGAAGTTAAAATTTTATACTTTTTGTGGAAGAAACTTTAATAAAAAAATATTTTCATTTTTTTTACCTTATAAATAATTTCCAATAAAAATATACAGTTGATCAAAGTTTTAAAGATGACAAAGTTTTTATGGGGTAGTATAAGTTTATTATAGATTTTTAAAAAAGGTATGAGATTTTTGTATTGTTAAAGTGTGACACTTCTAATAATTTATACATATTACTCCGTATACGTGATTTTAGTACCATTATGGCATTAACTCAAACAGTCAAACTATTTATGGCACTCTACTAAATGTTAAGAATATTTATATTATTCACTAAATGCCTAAAAAGTATGGAGTAACACTAAAACGTCAATCAAAAAGCAATAAATAAAATATATCCCTCCTTATTTGAAGGATCTTATATCATTTTGGTAAGTTTTTCTTCACAATGTCAAGCACAATGTCTAGATGTAGACATTGTGGTTGACATTGTAGAGAAAAACCTTCCAAAAACACACAAGACCGTGGAAAGAATGGGAGAGAAATGTCATAAACTCAATTTTTTGTGTCTATCTCTCTCATGCCACATGTGCACCGTGCACATTGTAACATTGGAGATGCCCTAAGGATGCTTTCTTTTGGATTGTTTTCAGTCCTAGATCAGACCAGAATTCTGTAGTTATAAGATACACAGAGACCAGACGTTTACCAGACCAGACCAGACCAACAAATTTCAGTCCAAAAGAAAACATCCTATGAAAGAAAAAACTTATACTTAGTATTCTATGATACTAAGAAGATTTCCAATGCAAAAATATGAAAGATGCACATAGGATGTTTTTACTTGGGCTGATTTTAGTATCAAATTAGATCAGACCAGATCAGATTTGGATAGTTATAAAATACACAGAGACCGGACATTTATTAGACCAGACCACAATCTTAAATATTGTGGTTATGATTGTTGAAAAAAAACAGGATACAAAGCGATAAAAATTTTATTAACTTGTTTTATGTGCACAATATACATCATACATTGGAAATGACCTAAAATAATTAAATTTTAGCATAAAGTTCGTGATATTACGTTGCACATTCAAATTTGAAAAATTAATTGTGAAAAGTGTTAAACTAAACAAATCTGTGATTTGTGATACTAAATTAAGTATGAACTGATTGACATTTGATTTGGAAGAGTGTTCTAATTACTCCAAAATAGAAGTTTCAAAACTTTTTCAACACGAAATTAAAAGAAAGTGTACGTTAAAGCAATAGTTCTAATTCTACTACATCCGTGTAATTCATCAAATTTTGTCTTCATCGTCTTTAATTCCTAGTGATCTACTTGCTATCCACTGACCCTCCCACGTTGAATCCCAATCATCGTCTCTATTCTGTTAATCATCAATCATTTAGATCGTTAGCAATTCACGTGTATAAATAAGTTGAAGAAATATTCACTCAAAATAAATTACTACCTATTTTTCCTATTCGATTTTTTTCTTCTTTCAAATCGTTGTTTATATGTACGTTCATGAATAAAATATTATGTTGAGTAACATTTTCATCAACTCGGCCTGACGGAATCTGCCGTCAAAACAAGGCCATTTGAGGGCCTTCGATTCCCAGTTGATTTTTTTTACGGAAATCTTTGAGCATGTTCTTCATTAAAATTTTAGATTTTTTTTCTTAACTTAAGTCAGAAGGACGGTGAGTTAGATGGAGATGTATCCCATAGAATCAGAACATGGTGGATGAAGTGGAAGAGTGCGTCAGGATTTCTATGCGATCGAGGTATGCCGACTAGACTGAAGGGTAAATTTTATAGGACAACAATTAGGCCTGCATTACTGTATGGCACGGAGTGTTGGGCGGTGAAACAATGTCACATTCAAAAGATGAGTGTGGCAGAGATGCGCATGCTGCGTTGGATGTGTGGGCATACTAGAAAGGACCGCGTGAGGAATGAGACAATTAGACAAAGGGTGGGAGTAGCATCTATTGAAGATAAGATGCGGGAGTCACGCCTACGGTGGTTTGGTCATGTGCATAGAAGACCGAGTGATGCACCTGTCAGACGAGTTGAGATGTGTGGAGAAGAGGTAGGGAAGAGAGGGAGAGGAAGGCTCAAACAGACGTGGATTAGGGGAGTCAGAAGTGATATGCTTCTTCTTGGATTAGATGAGAGTATGGCTTTGGAGAGAGCAAAATGGAGGGCGGGTATTCGTGTGGATGAGTGATCTTGTATCATCTTTTCTCCTTTTTTTTCTTTTATATTTTTATCCTTATATATAAATATTACTTTATCCTTTTTATTTGATCTTTTATATGTATATTCATCTCTTTTATATTATCTTTTTTATAATAGCTTATCTTTTTTATCTTTATTTTCGTCCTTTTCCTTTTGGTGATATCATATATCGATTCATGTTAGCCGACTCCAATATCGTTTGGGACTAAGACTTGGATGTTGTTGTTTTCTTAACTTAAGTCGCTTCAATGTTTTTGAGCATGTTAGTCAAGTGTAGATGATATCAACAAAATTTTAGTTTAAAATTCAATCGGGAAGTCGATTAAATAAATTTTTAAACATGCTGTGTTGGTTATATACATAAATAGCAATATATTTTAATATTTTATTTATTTGATTTTCCGGTTGAATTTTAAGCTGAAAATTTGTGGAAATATAGACTTAATTAAAAACATGCTCAAAAAATTTCATCAACAAATTCTACCAGAAAAGACCCCAAATGACTTCGTCCTGACACCAGTTCGCGTCAGGCCGACCTAATATGATCTGTCCTCATATTATGTACTACGTATGTTGTTATGCATTTCTTTTGTTAGAGGGTAATTATAATTTAACAAAAAATCATTTGGATATAAGAATCGGAAATTTTTTTATTATTAAAATAATTACAAGTAATCAGTTAGTTTTAATAGATTAAAACGAAAATGACATGCATTTTAATACTCGGGTACTCCATATTTGTTTAATTAAGAGATATTACCCAAAATGGGACTAAAAAAGTTTGAAAATTCCAAAATAAGACTTCCATGTTTTTATTCCCAAAATAGGACTAATTACTGTCATGTTTTGGCAGTACCAGACTTCAAACATGGCAGTATTTTCCAAATTTGGCAGTAATTGGTCCTATTTTGGGAATAAAAACATGACAGTCCTATTTTGGAATTTTCGAACTTTTTTAGTCCCATTTCGGGAACTTTCCCTTTAATTAATGTATTTTCCTTATTCATACTACACGCCAGTGACTCCAGTAAGTCTCCGCTAAATTAAAACTAAAGAGACTTTGTGACTAATTTATTATTAAATGACTTATCCTTTGGACGTAATTACTATTATGATGAATATCTCCTAATGTACGGATAATGCGACAGATGAAATGAAAATCTTCTGAAATACTCGTACGTAGTATGTACCCGTATCTATATATCTATATAAAAGCAGAATCGTGAGAACCATGAGAGTATGAGACCAAGAGCCCGTTTGGAGAACTCTGTTTTCGGCTTATCAGGCTTATCAGCCAACTTTTTCACCAAACACGTAACTTTTACTTTCGCGTGCTGAATTGTGTAATAAGCCGAAAAAGTAAGGTTGGAGTTACTTTTCTGGCTGTATTGGCTGAAGTTACTGTAGAGGACCATTTTAGCTATTTTTACATATAATTTTTTCTTTAATTTATTAATAAAATATATTTTTAAAATATTTTTTTCTTAAATCAGCAGAATCAGCCAAAACAGCCACTCCAGCCAGAATATCATAAATTTCAGCAGAATCAGCCAAAACAGCCGATTTTGGTGTTACCAAACGGGCTCCAAATCTGGCCATTAAAATATTACACGTGTCATAAGATGCGCAAATACAAATTCCCTCACAACAT